CATTGAGTCGCACCATAAAGTATGTCACCACCAAAAAGTTCAGCGTGCCCTTGAGTAAACATACGTGCAGTAAGAGAAGCTTCCAAACATAATCTCATTAACAAATATTGAACATCGATCGTATTAAACAACAAGGGATTATCATCCAATTTAGTACTCAGTGAATAAATCCCGTTAACAGTGTCGCTTTTACCTAAGAAATCTTTTTCTGAGTATTTTAAGAGACAAAAATTGTACCAAATTATAGCTCCTGACTGTTGAGGGCAACGCTTTCTAACCTCTAGGCTTGCTCTACTGATGCATCTTCTACAAGATATGCGGTCGAATTCTGAGACCATTGATCCCCAGCACTTAGCGAGCCCATGTAAACTTTTATTCGGTTCTTGTCTGTCAATGTTTACAATTACATTTCCTATAGCTCTGCTGTTTCTCTATTAAATCTTGCCGGTATTGTCGCCAGGATTTCCTCATATGCCTCATTGTCTGGAAAATCTGTGTGACCAAAACAATTATGACCACCAAGACAAGTTTGAGCATGAACAAAAGGAGAGAAAGATAAGAGACTTACAAGGATTAATAATTTTGAGAAAAACATTTTAGTTACATAGAACTTAAATTCAATTTTTTCAAAACTGCATAAAACAAACTTGAAATTATAACAGAGTGCAACTTCTATTTATATAATATGTATAATATATTTAATATTAGTACTATAGATTTCTATTATAACACATTATAAGCTTTTGTACTTTAATAAAAAAAACCAAGAGCTCTCTTCTATTTATATAATATGTGTGATAGATTTTAATAAATTAGTACTATAGATGTTTCTTGTAAGCTTTCGTACTAAAAAATAAAATAAAATTACCCAACCCTTCCTCCAAATTTAGAGTCGATGGCTTCTCCCCGCCTAAATGGGTGTTTTTTCTATGAGCTTCGTCTCAGTTCTAGATCTTGTGTCTACTCTTTGTTTCCTCTCCATTTCTATGCGAGTGTTTAAAAAGGCAGAGACAAACATGCCTTAGTACAAGTAAAGTATCAAAGACCACATTGGAGCACACCAAAGACCTGGACCAATCCAACACACCTCCCATTGGTCCTAAATTTAAAATGGTTGAGTTGAAACACTTAATTAAACTTAAAAGAATAGCTAGTGTAGTGAACCCGTATCCATGCACCCAAGTTCGAATCCCCTTCTTGTAGATTAGATCAAATTCAAATATATTTTTTTGGGCCAAAGTTAGGAAGGGAAATGGGAGTTTTTTCACACACATTGCAAAGTGCCATGGAGGACCACTAGTCTGCCAGTTAAGGTCATTTTCCACTGGGATAGATCCCATTCACAATTCAAAAGACCAAAGAAACCTAAAAAAATGGTTAATAAAACCTAAATTCGAAAATGGTTGTGCTTATCACAACTGAAATCCTATACATAATTCCTATTTTTATACGGAAATTCTCTTGACAATATTTATTAGTGGAAAGGAAATTTAAGCAACGAAAGATAAGCCACAACCTTTACCTAACTCTTCAAATTTCCCATTTTGCTAGCTGCAACAAAACTTTTTTTATATTTCGGATACATATAAATGACATGATATGACATAATTGTTTCTGGTCTCATGCACTTTTATAATTGGTGCATGCTTAACTTCCAAGGGGTTACAAACCGAGCAAAATCTTGAAATCTAGGAATGACAAACCACCATTTTGGACTTGGTTACTTTTAGTAGATTGGCAACGAAGCATTTCCAAGGAAAATATTTGAAAAAAAAAAATATTTAAGATTAATTGATGGCTTACGTGACAATTTGACATATATTGCTCTACAACCTCTACTTCATTTGTGCTTATATAACAAATTTACCAGTTTTAAATATTTAAAAAAACAATGACGGTGCAAAGCGCATTTTAGCCGACTCACACCTGTATCTACTCATATGTGCAATGCTTGATGAGTGACGTTGCATAACTAGGGCGACATGGCAAGAGAGGACATTGATTCTTATCAAAAAGGGAAAAATAAAAATGATACTTCCCGAAAGTTATGGTTAGGTGTTGACATAAAATTAAAGAAATCCAAAATGTTTTTTTTAAAAAAATATAAAATTAAAAAAAATTAATTTTTTTTATGGGTTTACTAGTGAAATACCCCCTGAATTTATACCTTGCTTTCAATTAGCCCCCTATCCTTTTTTTTTAGAAAATTAAAGATATGAACTTTTTTTTTCGCCAATTTCCCCCCTACCGTCTAAATCATCAACATTTCATCCAATTTTAGGGTTATTTTAACATACAAAATTACTATTTTACCCTCATATTTAACGGCAAATTGGATGAAATGTTGCGGATTTGGACGGCAAGGGGGAAATTGGCGAAAAAAAGTATTCATATCCTTAATTTTTTATTATTAAAAGGATAGGGGGTTAATTGAAAATATGGTACAAGTTCAGGGGGCAAATCACTAGTATACCCTTTTTTTAATTACAAACGGGGTGTTAGTTAAATTTACCTAGATCTTTGGTGTGTTTCCATGTAGTCCTGGGTTCAATGCTCCATTATATAAGTGAATGTGAGTTTCCTCCCTTCCCCCTCCTAACTTTGGCAATAAAAATGAAAAAAATTATTTAGAGCGACCGCGTTTGGCCTTAGATTTAGGTTTCTATGATGTGGTGCTGGAGCTTGATAGTTGTTGCTCTTCTTCAAACGAATGAGATTTGGTATGGGGTAGAACGGAATTTAGTGAAGAGGGGAGAGACCTTTTGAAATATTTTACAAGATGTCTGTCAATGGGGACAACGAGTCTGGTGAGTTCTCTTCTGTGAGAGGCTTTTTTAAAAAACATTTAAATTTATTTTAGAATTAAAAAAGATAATGGGTAGTTGTGTTCCATAAAAAGAGGATCCATTATCTGATTTTTCTTTTAATTTTAATTTTTTTAAATATGAAAAAGTGTGAATTTACCATAATATCCTCATTTAATTAATAATTTTAATTCTTAAAGTTTAAATTAACTAAGGGCATTTTTTGGTATTTTGAATGTTTCACAATTCTCTGCCTTTTGCTTTATATATATAGATAATAAAAAAGTAGAAACCCAACCCCACCAACCTCCCAAATGTCTCTATTTCTCTCTCTCCCTTTTTCTCTCTCCTCCTAGCCAAATTCTCTCTCCTCCTCTCTAGATGTAGAGAGCCAAAAGTTGGTTCTCCAAATAGAGAGCCAAGTATGGAGTTTGCTGGAGGAGGATTTTCCTTCTTTTTGGCCAAAGTAGCTAGGGATGGGAGGATAGAGAGTCTGTTGGAGATGCTTTTAAGGAATTTTTCAACGGATGTGCAATTTTTAAAGACTAAAAGTTTTGAAAAAAAGGAGTGAGCTATAATTTATATAGTATATCAATTAATATGAAAACCAATATCAAATCATCAATTAATCTAACAAAAATAAATATCAAATTATCAATCAAACAAACAAATAATAATTGATCATACTCAAATCTTGTGACGCCACTTCTTCCTATTCAAGTTTGTCAATCATACGAATACATAGATAATAATAATAATAAGGCTTAATTGCTACAGTGCCCCTTGAAACATTAGTCAATTCTCACTTTACCCCCTGGAAGTTAAAAAGTGTGTTAGGGGTTTTCGATGTCCCTTTTTGACCCAAAATTCCTTTCCGAATAGGGAATGGCGTAATTAACAGAACCCATTGCTTTACAGTGGCGTAAGGCCGAGTTTAAAGTTTTGAAGATATGAAAAATCAATTGAAACATGATTTTTTCCAGATTCTTTAATATTCATAGTATTTAGAAAACATGTTTAATCTATCATAATTTTTTTAAAATATAACCAAAATAGTCATGGCATCAATGAAAAGAAAATTACAATAGGCATGCTTGAAAACAATTTCAATGTGTGTGAGTAACCATGTGCTTTGATACCAACTGTTAGAATTTCTATATAAGTATTCATGATCTTTCACACAACCTGAAATACATAAAAGCTATGTTGCACCGATACGCCACTTTTTGGGGGTATGCGCGTATCCGATACGGCACCGATGCGTATCCGATATGCCACGTGGCGTATCGTAGACTTTTATGATATGTTGACTTTCCGATACGTCCTCGATACGTCCTTGATATGGTCATGATACGATCTAGATACAGCACCGATACGTCTGGGGGTAAAAATGAAAATATTTGGAAACTTTGGGGGTAATTTTGAAAGTTATTTAGTATTTGGGGTTAAAATGTAAAAATAAAACATAGAATTTCAGACTGCTTAAGTCGAGAGAGAGGCTAGGTCTTGGGTTTCATTCAGACAAACACCAACCAAATAGAAGAAGAAGAAGAAGGAAGGAGGAAGAAGGAAGAAGGAAGGGAATAACTCACCCAGTCGCACCCAGCTTTCTCAACCAGCGCCGTTGCAGCAGCTTTATCGCTACTCAGATTCATACGCAGCTCAAGGTTTCTTCTTCTTTCTTTGAATAATCTGCTGTTCTTATATGGGTTTGGAACTTGGGTATATAATTTAATAAGTTGTGTGGTTGGAATTGTTGTTGATTTGATTTGGGTTCTCCTTTCTTTTTAATAAGCTGCGGCCAGTTGTTGTTATATGGGTTGTTTACTATATTATTTAATAAGTTTTGTGTGGTTGGAATTGTTGTTGATTTGGGTATATAATTTAATTAGTTTATGAAGTGATTTGGGTATATAATTTGATTTACAGGAAATGAGTAGTGTGGGTAATAGTTCTTGTGATGGGAATGCTAGTAATAATAATGGGGAGCATGAGGAGAATGATAATACTCCTTTATGAAAATATGTCAAGAAGCTTGACAAAGACGGTAAAGCCGGTGGCAATACTTCTTTCCAATGCAACTATTGCCAAAAAACTTTCAAAGGATCATACTTTAGAGTGAAGAGCCACTTGTTAAAACTCAAAGGCAATGGAGTTGCTTGTTGCACTAAAGTTACAAATTCTCATTTGATGGAGATGGAGAAAGTAGTGGAAGAAGCGGAATTGAGGGTGAAAATGGCACAACTTAGAGATGTACCTTTACCCACCTCCAACACTTCAAGTCAAGGAGGTTCAAGTAGTGGTTTGGGTGTGAGTTCAAATTGGTATGGCACCACAAGTAGTAACCCAAAGAAGAGGAAGACTAATCCTATTGAGAAAGCATTTAACAATAATCTTAGAGAACAATTAGATGGTGAGATTGCAAGAATGTTTTACACGAGCGGCTTGTCATTTCAATTTGCAAGGAATCCCCATTATGTGAATGCCTTTAGAATCGCTTGTAGTAAAACACTTTCGGGTTACCACCCTCCCGGTTACAATATGTTGAGAACTACACTTCTCCAAAAAGAGAAGAATAACATTAAGGAGTGTTTGCAACCAATGAAAAGGGCATGGCAAAATAAAGGGGTAAGTGTTTGTAGTGATGGGTGGTCGGATGCACAAAGAAGACCTCTCATTAATGTCATGGCCATTTGTGAAAGTGGGCCAATGTTCTTGAAGGCAATAAATTGTGAAGGGGAGTGTAAGGATAAATTTTTCATGGCGAACTTACTTATTGAATCAATCCGGGAAATAGGTCCCCAAAATGTGGTCCAAGTGGTAACTGACAATGCTCCGGTTTGTAAGGCGGCCGGACATATTGTTGAGGCAAAGTTTAAGCACATCTTTTGGACACCATGTGTGGTTCATACCCTTAATCTTGCTTTGAAGAACATATGCTCACCCGTGCTAAGACATCCGGAAGTGTATGAGCAATGTAGTTGGATTTCAACAATCTCAAGTGATGCATGGTTTATTAAGAATTTTATTATGAACCATAATATGAGGTTGTCAATGTATAATGATCATTGTAAGTTGAAGTTGCTCTTCGTTGCTGAGACACGTTTTGCTTCTACAATTGTGATGCTTAAAAGATTTAAGCAAGTGAAACAAGGCTTAGAGCAAATGGTTATTAGTGATCAATGGGACATTTATAAAGAGGATGATGTGGTAAAAGCAAGGACGGTGAAGGAAAAAATATTGGATGAGTGCTTTTGGGAGGACATTGATTACATACTTAACTTTACTTCTCCAATATATGAGATGCTTAGGTTGAGTGACACGGATATGCCTTGTCTTCACTTGATTTATGAGTGGTGGGATAGTATGATAGAAAAAGTGAAGACAATTATATATTGAAAGGAGCGCAAGCAACTCAATCAAGAGTCAATGTTCTTCAATGTGGTGCATGAAATTTTGGTGGACCGATGGACCAAGAGTTACACACCACTCCATTGCTTGGCACACTCTCTAAATCCTAAGTAAGTCTTTACTTTAGTAAATTTCTCCTTGTGTTTATCATTATAATTTTATAATTCTTATCATATACTTCTAGGTATTATTGCAAGGAATGGCTTGATATGGCTCCTAATCGTTGTGCTCCACATAAAGACATTGAGATTACAAGGGAGAGGAAGAAATGTATTGAGAGATTCTTTCCTAATGAGGTGGAGAGAAGAACGGTTAATGAGGAGTATGCCTCTTTTTTGGCATGTATTGAAGATTTTTCAGGTATGGACTCTATGAAAGATAGAGGTTTCATGGCTCTGGTAAAATGGTGGGTTATCCATGGAGCGTCCACACCACAACTTCAAACTATAGCATTAAACCTACTTGGACATCCTTCTTCCTCCTCCTATTGTGAAAGAAATTGGAGCACTTACAACTTCATTCACTCTATTAAGAGGAACAAGATAACACTGGAAATAGCGAAAGATTTAGTATTTGTGCATAGCAATCTTCGTCTCCTTTCAAGGAAAAGGCCCGAATATAAAGAAGGGGAAACTCATATGTGGGATGTTGGAGGAGATGCATTTGATTCCATGGATTTGGAAAATGCCGGAGTGCTTGAGATTGCAAACCTCTCTTTTGATGAACTGGACTTAGAAGCCATCATATTCAACCATGATGAATGAAGTTAGAGCTTTGAGAAGTGATTTCTAATGTTTTAATTTGTGCTTTGTTTATGGATACTTGTATTTTGTGTGTTTTGTTTAATTTGTGCTTTGTTTATGGAGATTTGAATGAAGTTATGTGTTTTG